GTACTAAAAATGTAAAAGTTTGATCAGGTGTAACTATTGCTGCTGTATCATTATTTGACCCATCAGTGAATATATTTGCAGCATTCATGATGGGTGTTTTTCTTGTCATTTTTGGAAAAATTACAGGATGCGATGACCAAAAAGACAATAAAGGATTAGATGGTAAGTGGTTATCAAATGAAACACTAGATTTGCACATGATTATTGCCCAAGTGTTTAACTCATTAGCTAACTCATCAATTTGATCCATAGTATATGGAGTAATAATTTTATTGGGAGAAATTCCAAACACTCCCTTTGCTGCTTTTATTCCTTTGAGTATTAATTGTCCTACAGCCTTAGGATACCTAGTAAGAATAGTGTTGTTAGGAGAATAAGATAAATGTATCCATAATAATGGACCTTCTTGCCAAAATACTACTATAGGAATATTTTTTGTTGGTAGTACAATAAATAATAAAGGCAAACTTATATCAATTCTATCCAAATGCATATTTTCCATATATGTTTCAATGATTTTTAATGCCTTTCTTGCTTCAGGCGTTAACATTCGGGGTGAATTTGGATCTGATGTACCTTTTAGGATATCAAATAAAGGTCCCAGCTCTCCTGTTGGTATGCCTAGATAAGGCCTTATCCAATGTATGTCTCCTAATAACTTTTGAAAGTCGTTAAGTGATTTGAGTTGATCTACTCGTATTTGAATTTTTGGTGGACGGACCATGGTGGAGGATAATAGAACTCCTAAATAATTAATTGGAAAATTTAATTGTACTTTATCTATTGCTATCTCTAGATTATAATTTTTTAAATAAGTTTGTTAGTGTGGCATAACATTCTAGCAATGTGTTTTTATCTTTGTGTGCTAATAATACATCATCCATATAGTGAAATATTTGTAGTTCAGGATTTTGATTTCTAAGTGGCTGGATTACTTTGTTAACATAAATTTGACACATAGTTGGACTGTTAGCCATCCCTTGAGGGAGTACTTTCCATTCATATCTCTGATCAGGACCTTCATGATTCAGTGCAGGGATAGTAAATGCAAAACTTGGACTATCCTCAGGGTGAATTGGAATGGAAAAAACCCCCAATCTTTAATATCTATAACTAAAACATACCAGGTTTTTGGCAAAGCAGACAATTGGGGAATCCCTGATTGAGCAGGTCCCATAATAATCATCTCATTATTAATGGCTCTTAAATCTTGCAATAATCTCAATTTACCAGATTTTTTTATGACAAAAATGGGAGTATTATGGGGAGATACAGAAGGTCCCTCATTACAGTAGCATAGAATTATAAAAATAGTTTTGGCAAATCATGAGTGGATTCTGTTATGTTAGGTTTTCTATAGCTAATTACTCTTTCAACTCAAAGTACAAAGTGCCTGAATCGGATAGACATAGATGTGTAATTGTTGACTAATTAGTTTGTGTTGACCTCTACAGTTTGGGGTTTTCCTGTTTGATATTTTGTTGTTGTTGTTGTGGTGGTGGTGGTGGTGGTAGTGGTTTGTTTTTAATGAAAACTAGAGCTTAATAATATCAGTGTCATACCTAATAACTCTGACGTCTCAGTTCTAAGAACGAATATAGTCATTGAAAAGATTTTTCTCAATTTAGTGGTTCTCTCTTTGTCTCCCACTTTAAAAACAATATTTTGGTGCTTGCTTGTGTGCTAGTGTTTCATAGTCAAACTCATGCTTCATCTCAAGTGATTTTTCTCACTCCAGTAGAATCTCATTTTGTCTAACATTTGTAAAGTTAATTTATTTCATTCATTTTGATCTTCCTAAAATTTGACCTCTTTAAAAATTTGTGTGCATGCATGGGTGGGTGGTGCAGGGGATTGAACCAAGGACCTTGTGAACAGTGCATATGTGTGCTATCAGTGAACTTAATCCCCAGTTCCAAATTATTTGCTTTCTTGTACTTATTGAATTTACTATTTTTGTTGTTGTTCTGAAGATTAAGCCTGGGATATCACCTGCTGGGCAAGTGCTTTACACGCTTAGTCTCACCTCTTACTTTTTCTATACATCATATTATAACACACAGAGGACAAACAAATAAAATGAGATCATGGTTTTACTTGAGAAGATTATTCCTAGTTTTATGATGTAATTAATTTGTCACTATTTCAAGGGATTTGGCCCAAACCCCTGTGATCCTGGAAAATTGGAAACCCATTGGTGCGTATTATAATCTTGGGGCATATTATTAGCCAATTCTTGTGGGTAATTCTTTTGTCCAACAGAAGGACCTTTGTGGAAGCACAAACTGTTTCTCCCCATCACTTAAATATTCCATCTTGGTCCTTAAACTCCTGCTTCCTCAATACCAGCTCTGTTGTAATGTTGTCTGTGGGAACACAACTTGAACAGGTTTGGTTTGCTTTCCTTAGAATGTATTTTTTGGGGGCCAAAAAGGGATATCAAACCAGAATTATTGAAGAAGATCAATTTTCTTCTTCTTTTTTTGTTTGCTGATAACGCCAAGGTCGAGGGTTCGTTCCCCCGTACGGGTCACCGAATGCTGCAGTCTGACTGGGCACAATTCACGAGCCACTTATCAAGCAGAAACAAACTTTATTTTAAGAACACACACGCCGCACCACCAGAGCTCTTCAGGAATTCCCTCAGAGCCCAACTGCCACCACCAGCTTCCCACAAGCCTCTCAATCCCCCACTCCTCCTGCTCTTGAGGCCGATTGGCTGGGTCATGTGGGCAGAGCCAAAAGAGTCCCCCAATAAGCAGCTCCATGGTCTGAAAGGGGGGGAAAACAGACCAATTAGCATCACCGCAGATGAGCCAATCAGCAGGCAGCTGGAAGTTTGCTGGGGCCATGGTGAGCCAATCAGCTGGAAGTTTTCTGGGGCTCCTTTGGCTGTGGCTCTCAACATGGGGGCACAATTCGAAATGCTCAACAAACTTCCTTCCAGACGTGACTCTAACCTCACATTAGTTCATTTCACCACTTCTACATATGCATCAGGAAGTGGAATCTCATTTTTAGAGCAGAGGTAAAATACACCAAAATCAGTGCCCTTTTCCTGGTTTCTTAAAATCATCTTAAAACGTTTGTCTTTTTCTCTGTTTCTTTAATTTTATTGTAATTTAAACTGCAAATTGGCATAAACACTATGGAAAGCAGTATGGAGATTCCTCAGAAAACTTGGAATGGAACCACCATTTGACCCTCTTATCTCACTCCTGGGTTTACACCCAAAGAACTTAAAATCAGCATATTACAGTGATGCAGCCACATCAATGTTTATAGCAGCTCAATTCACAATAGTTAATCTATGGAACCAGCGTAGGTGCCCTTCAACAGATGAATGGATAAAGAAAATGTGGTTCATATACACAATGAAATATTACTCAGCCTTAAAGAAGAATGAAATTATGGCATTTGCAGGTAAATAGATGGAACTAGAGGATATCATGTTTAGTGAAAATAAGTCAATCCTCAAAAAACAAAGGCCAAATATTTTTTTTCTGATAAGCAGATCTTATCCTTCAGTGTCATCTCTGATTCTTACTTGTTCTGGTTCTCTGCTCTTTCTTTGCTCTGGGTCCTGATGGTGTATTTACTGGGAGATAAGCTATGTACATAGTTTTAAAGAACTTTTATCCAACATTTTTTGGAAATTTTTTAAAGGGGGAAATTTTCAGTTTACTTAATTTGCCATACTTTTAGAAATTGTAATCCTCAAAATAATTTTTCTTAACATTTCTATGAATCATTCTATTCTTAACTGCACATAATTTAGTTTTATAGTAGAAGTAGCTGCAATGTAAACAGTAAAGATTATTAAGAGGTTAGGAGGTATCAAACAGCAGATTCATTTTAGAATATTCTCTATTTCTTAATTCCATGGGCTTTGTGGCAAGAAGTCCTTTATGATAGAATAATACAATCTCTCACCTTTAACTTTGAATTAAAAATTGTATTCAGGGGCTGGGGTTGTGACTCAGTGGTAGTGTGCTTGTCTAGCATGTTTGAGGCAATGGGTTTGATTATCAGCACCACATAAAACAAATAGACAAATAAAATAAAGATATTGTGTCTATTACAACCAAAAATATCTTTTAAATGAATTCAATAGGGCTGGGGTTGTGGCTCAGTGGCAAAGCGTTTGCCTCACACATGTAAGGCACTGGATTCAGTCCTCAGCACTACATAAAAATAAATAAACAAAATAAAGATATTTTGTCCACATATAAATTATAAATTCAATTATAAATTTAAAAAATTAAAATTTTTTAATGTATTCAATAGAAAAATAAAGTTTCTTGATAGCTTCCATATGGCTTTCTGCAGTGATATACACAGAGCAGTTGAGCAGTGTATTTTTCTTGAATCAAACATAATATCATTTATTCAACTAATGTCAATACAGAGTCAGAATTAAATTTTCCCCAACAGTAAGTGCTTTGATCCATGGTGTAATTACAAGGAAAGAGTAATTACAAGGAAAGTACAAAAAATGGTGCATCACATGAAGAGCTCTTCATCTATGCTCAAACACAGATCTAGGCATGTTTCTGATAGTATCTACTAATGCCCTTTTGTGAACTCAGAGCACAAGGGAAGTTAAAATCCCAATGTAGCCTGGTGCGGTGGCACACACCTGTAATCACAGCAGCTCAGGAGGCTCAGACAGGAGGATTGCAAGTTCAAAGTCAGTCTCATCAAAAGCAAGGCACTAAGCAATTCAATGAGACCCCATCTCCTGGGGATGTAGCTCAGTGGGAAAGTACTCCTGAGTTCAATCCCCGTATATCCCCCTCCCCACCCCCAAAAAAAACAGTATAACACATTAATAATAGTGTCCTTTTGGGACAGATAAGTGAACCTTTTCTTCAAATGGTGAACAAACTTAAATTTGCGCTCAAAGACTTCAGATGTTATCATTATTATTGAATTTATATTATTCAGATTTAAATGTTGTTTCATTATCATTATTTAATTATTTGAATTTTTCATAATTATCTAACTTCAATTATGATTAAGGAAAAGAAAACATTCAGGCCTGCTGACTTGGCCAGAATCAAGCCTGGCAATATGATTCATACTTCAGCTTTACTCCCAGGGGAGTGCCTGTTAAGAGCTCTTGGAATTTTTCATCCATTTCCTGGTTCTGAGTTTCACTGAACAAGTTTTTCCAATCACCAACTTCACCTACAACACAAAAACGCAGCAGACCCAGACATCTGTTAGAATATTTTTTCTTGGTTTTAAGGTATGCCCTACCTGATTTTATTATTTTTGTGCATGCAGTATTTCAGCTTTGAAATGTGAAAATGAACACATGAAAAAAAAATTAGACAGCATTAAAAACTAATATAATTTTCCTTGTAAAATGAACACTATCCACTGGAGCTCCTGCAAGGTGGTGTGACATCACTGGGGGAGAAAAGACTCAGTCTTGATGAACTCCTACCACCACTCCTCTCCCAACATCTGGGATCTAAAATTCCACTTTGTGAGGTTAATTTTTTTCCCCTCTAAAGTCTTTTAAATACTTTAAATACCCTTTGAAAAGTAGCAATTTTTATCAGGTTTTGGTTAAGATAATGAAAATTTTGCAAAAATTTAATAACTCTACCTACCATGAGGGTATGTTATTTCTATCTTTAGAATCTTTTGATGGTTTGTGTTGAAATTGTAAGTTCTATATTGCATAATCTTTGAAATATTTGTTGATATAGAGGGTTTCATGACACAAGGAAAAGCTTATCATATATTAAGGAAATGAAATAAAACACAAAACTGTTTACAAATGTCAACTATATAAAGCATGAACAGAAAAAGGCTGGGATAAAATGCGCCTTTGTTAGGAAACATTTAAACTTTTGACAACATTTGTAAATGGTTTTGTGTTATATTTTAAGGCTTTTCCACATTTTTCTGTGCTGTGAATTTTCTAAAAAAATATATTTAAAATTATTACTTTGTTGACTTCAGAATTTTTCTATCCTGAATAGTAATTTGATTAACAATATATGGAAAAGTTCAATTTTTCCCCTCCATAAAGCTAATAATAAGGCATAAAAATTAGAAGTAGTTAGGAATCAAACCAAAGCCAGGTTTGTGTTTAATGTTTCATGCATACTGGATTTCAAAATGGGTCTTCAACTGAAAAATGTATAGTAGAATAATGCAAATGAGGCTCTATTCCTGACTCCATTGTTTATTAGCTACATAACAAAGAAGAAGTAATAACTTTGGCTCCTTTCCTATATTTGTAAAATTAGGGATTTGGGGGCTGAGGTTATAGTTCAGCAGTAGAGCATTTGCCTAGCATATAAGACACATTGGGTTTGATCCTCAGCACCACATAAAAGAAAAGAAACAAAATAAAGGTGTTGGGTCCACCTAAAACTAAAAAAAAAATTAAATTAGCGATTTCATATCTTTTTTATTAAGAAATTTGATTCCAACAATATGTTTAATAGATGATCAAATGCCCCATGTTAGCAAGTGTCCTTGCTGTTACACGTGCTGCCTTTAAACTTTGTTCTAACATACTTTCATTGCATTATATGCAAAAAAAGAAAAAAGAAAGACTGGCACAAGAATTTAGAGTACTTTAATGAAACTCAATAAATCATCTGTGTCAGGGACACCTAGTTAACTCTCCAACACTCATTTTCTTCTCTTATATTTAAACAGAATCCTGATTCTAATTGGGTAACAATGTGCCTAGGTTTTGTTGTTGTTGTTTAAATCACATTTTCTAAGTATTGCTGCAGAGAGAGAGGTGATCAATGAAATGTAAGTAGTCCCTGAATGGCGCCTCCAGATCGTTCTTTTTAAAGGGGGTTCATTCAGATAATGTGCATGATTCTTTCCCTTGCTGGTTCCTTCAACCTGCCTGGACTTTTTTTTTTCTTAATTGATTTTATTTTTTAAATAAATGACAGCAGAATGCATTCCAATTCTTATTACACACATAGAGCCCAATTTTTCATATCTCTGTATATAAAGTATGTTCATACCAATTCATGTCTTCATACACGTACTTTGGATCATGATGTCCATCACATTCCACCATCATTGCCAACCCCCTGACCCCTCTCTTTGCCTCACACCCCTCTGCCCTATCTAGTTCATCTATTCCTCCCATGCTCCCTCTCCCTACCCCACTATAAGTCAGCCTCCTTATATCAAGAGTAAACATTGGCATTTGTCTTTTTGGGATAGGCTAATTTCACTTAGCATTATCTTCTCCAACTCCATCCATTTACCTGAAAATGTCATGATTTTATTCTCTTTTATTGCTGAGTAATATTCCATTGTGTATATATGCCACATTTTTTTTATCCACTCCTCTACTGAAGGGCAATTAGGTTGGTTCCACAGTTTAGCTATTGTGAATCGTGCTGCTATAAATATTGATGTGGCTGCGTCCCTGTAGTATGCTGTTTTTAAGTCTTTTGTATATAGACTGAGGAGAGGGATAGCTGGGTCAAATGGTGGTTCCATTCCCAGTTTTCCAAACAGTCTCCATACTACTTTCCATATTGGCTGTACCAATTTGCTGCTTAGATTTTGAATGCAATGATGGAGTACAGCTGCTCTCTGTGTCATCACAGGTGACAAGCAGAAAGGCAGAAGGCACTCGGTACAATAAAAAGGTTATGTATGGAGCTGCCAGTTAAGCAGCTCTGCACTGCCTATTCCAGATTTCTTATCATGGAAGAGGAAAATGCAAGATGAAGTTATTGAGATTGCCTGTTATGTGCAAAGTTATTCCCCAAGTGACATGATACCCCAGAAATGAAAGCAAGTTTACCTTTGCGGAACAGGAATGGGCCAACAGCACCATGCGTCTCCTGAGATTTTTCTCTCATCGCTTGGAAGGTACTCTGGGCTGAGATGGTTTGAATCTGTTCCCCAGTTACAGAGAATCCAAAGAACTCAGCAATTTGTTTTATTCCAGTAGTCAGATTCTAAAAATAAAAAATTTAAAGGATAAATATTTTTCCAAGGAAATTAAACTGGTGCAAAGAAAAACTCAGAGTGGATTAAGTTTATTAATCAGAGTGGATTAAGATTATAAAGTCTAACTCCCTAGTTAATTTGCTTCTCTCTTAGATTTCTTTGATACTTTTATGTAAGTATTCAAGATATCATTATAATATATTCTACATTGACTGTACTCTGTAGTTTCAATTTATGACACTCACTGAACTAGATTATAGTATTTAGAATATAAATAATGATAGTAGCATTAATTAGGTAGATTCGAATTTCATCTAGGATGATATCCATTGTATTAAAAAGCATCAGCTTAGACCACCCAAGGAAACAAATGTATTTATATGAGTTTATTCAAATCTTTCTTCAGAATCCTATTTGTAGCTAATGTTTAATTCCACCAAATAAGTCTAATTTTTAAAGTCATAAAAGGTTGGAGTTGGGTAAAATGGTGCATGCCTATAATCCCAGTGACTTAGGGAGCTGAGGCAGGAGGATGGCAAATTTGAGACCAGCCTCAGTAACTTAGCAAGATCCTGTCTCCAAAAATAAAAAGGGTTCTGGGGCTGGGGCTCAGTGGTAAAGCGCTTGCCTGGCACACGTCAGGCACTGTGTTAGATCCTCAGCACCACATAAAAATAAAATAAAGGTAGTGTGTCCACCTACAACAACGACAACAAAAATACATTATAAAATTTTAAAAAATAAAAAGGGCTGTGGATGTAGTTAAGTGATAGAGGTGCCTCCAAGTTTAATCCCCTGTACTAGGAGAAAAAAAAAAAAAAACCTTGAAAGAATCTTAAAACTTATCTTGTCTAATTAACCATGTAAATCATGATCCACCCAACACTGTGTCATAAATATTCTAGAACAGGTTTTTAAACTGTATTCTACAAAACGCTAATGTACCGTAAGACAGCTGTAGACATTTCATGGAGGGAAAAAAAGAAGGGTGATGGGGGTCAAATTCGTTTAAAATCCTTGAGATAAATGAAGGCAAGATTATTTTTCTTTAGACTCTCTCAGAGCCTTTAATGTACTGATCAATCTACAGTGTGGCTCTCCAGAGGAGCTGGCTATGTAATATAGCACTTCCTAAATCTCTTTGTACAAACAACCTCCTTCCAATTTCCAAAAAAGAAATACTAACATCTGGGGCAACACTGCTAGTCTATGGAGCACAAGTTTCAGAAGCATTATTTTAAACTAGAGGCAGAAAAGACTAACTTAAAATGTCTTCCATGTAATATAAATACATCAAATAAACAGAAAAGGTGGATTAAATTTCATGTGCTTTTGATAAGAATATCTCAGGAAAATAGTGTGAACTCAAATTAGGGAGCATTTAACACACTCCCTTCCCTTTGACACACTGTCTTCCTTGAGGATCCAGGACCCTGGTTTCCCTCCTCCCTCACTAACTGCTTCTTTACTGATTCCTCCTCTTCTCAAATTCTTTATATCAGCCATCTCCAGGACTCCGTTCTCGGTCATCTTCTCTTTTCTCTCTCTACACCTACGTATGAAATCTCTGCCCTAAATGCCTTCTGTGTGTCAGTGATGCCCAAATTTTATCTACACCTCCCAACTCTCTGTATTCAAGACTTTTATGCTCGACTGCCTACTTGACCTTTTCATTAGGCTGACTAATAACCATCTTACTTAAACTTATCATGCCCCAAACAAAACCTCTGATTTGCCCCACAGCCCTGCTTCACCTAGTGCCATCTCCAACTCACTTGATGGCACTGGAGTCTTATTTGACTCCTCTTTCTCTCCACACCTTCCCTTCCATCTAATCCACCAGAAAATCCTATTGACTCTTCCTTCAACATTTATCCAGCATTTAACCACTTCTCCTACCTGCACTGCCCCTTCCTGGCCTAAGTTTCCATCTTCCCTGGAAGATGCCTGGATTAGGGCAGTAGCCTCTTCACAGGTCTCTGTGCACTATCTTTGCTCCAGTCTATACTCATATACCAGCCAAAAGGATCCTGTTAAAAACACACCATTGACTTCCCGTTCCATTCAGAGTGACAGCAGGAGTCATTTCAATGTCCCGCCATCCTAATGCTTTCACTCCACCCTCAAGGTGACTCTCTCGATTCTCTTCTACTGGCCTAGGCCTGGCTGCCTTCTTGCTGTACCTTAATCACGTGAAGAAATCAGGGACTCTGCTCTGGTTGATTTCCTCTGCCTACAAAGCTCTTCCTCCAGTTACCTATTTGGCCCACTCCCTCACCTCCTTCTCAGCTTTGTTCAGATCACATCCCCCCATAGGAGCCCAACAGACCACCTTATTTTATACGGGGAGTTGTGCAGCATTCTAATCCCCCACCCGCTGGCACTTCCAATCTTTCTTAACCAGTTATGTGTGTTTTTTTTCCCCCACATACTATGTACATTTTCAAATTTTCAATTTTATTGTATTTATTGTTTATCATTCTGTCTTCCGTCCTTCTCCTGGTAAGTAAGTTCTTACAAAGCACTGAACTTTGTCTAGCCTGAGACTGATGTATCACTCAGGCCAAAACAATGTTAACAGTTTTTTTAAAATAACACTAACTGGTGCATGCCTGTAATCCCAGCTACCCAAAAGGCTGAAACAGGAGGATGGCAAGTTTGAGGCCAACTTGGGCAACTTAATGAGACTCTGTCTTAAAATAAGATTTTTTTAAATATATTTATTGGGCTGGGGATGTGGCTCAAGCGGTAGCGCGCTCGCCTGGCATGCGTGGGGCCCCGGTTCGACCCTCAGCACCACATACCAACAAAGATGTTGAGTCCGCCAAGAACTAAAAAAATAAATAAATATTAAAAATTCTCTCTCTCTCTCTCT